TTCCCTAGCCATGTGTAGTGGCTTTCTAAATTCCTTTTCCTTTGCTTTTAAATGTCTGAATCATGAATCCCTGACTTCTCAAATAGTAAAAATCTAAAAGAGAAAAGAAAGAAAAAGTCAAATATATACAGTTTATGTTAATCCTCTGGAAGTCACTTCAACCAGTAAGGGTTGAAGCACTGAATCCTGTGAGTTGGAGGACAAGATCATTATTGTTCCTCCTGGCTCCAGCATGCCACACCAGGAACATGAGCATGGCTAACTGCCACAGGTCTGTAGGTTAGAGGATTGGTAGCCGCTACTTCACTTAAGACTAAACTTAACCAAAATTTACCAGTCAAGCTTTCCCTTGGAAGCTACAAGCATTCGAATAAGACCCCAGAGTTCCAAAGGAATCACTTCAGTTTTTGCCAGGCAATTGTTTTCTAGATGTAAAAACAGATACCTGGCACTGACTACTCTACCATCTTCCAAAAGTCATGTTCAACAACTGACTTTGCAATGTAATTTTTATAATAACTTAAATGTTCATCAAAATTTGACTACATCAGCTAAGAAAACTATAAAAATGACTTAAGTCATGTAATAATTATGACCAATGAAACTCACTGTGAAATGTCTTTTCAGGCTAGTTTCACCAATTATGTGCAGTTCTACTGGGTTGTCAGAAAAGTCATGACATATTTTTGCATAGAAAAACAGGAAAAATACATCATGACTTTCCTGACAACCTAATATAATGCTTACTATATTTCTTGTGTTGCAAAGTTGTAATGCTCCTTTTAAAAATATAATAAAATTTGAATCATTCTGGATCTCGGATCAGCTAAGAAAAAGGTCTAGAATTCAATAGAAAGAGCAGGAATTACAATTCTTTTAATTCTAAAATCTAATCAAGAAAAAGTCCAACTTAAAGGTAGGGACAAGTTCTGAAATATCAGTAATAATGCTGACTGTAAATTGAAAGGTCAGACCACAGTAACACTGCAAATTCAACCAAAGAAAGATTACACTTGAGACTAAACTGGTGAAACAGAATTCTATGACTTTTTCTAAAACACTACTGACTTATGTTTTGTCTTCCAGATTTAAGGATTTTTGTTTTCTTTTGAACTGTTGATAGGTTCAGCAATTTGTTAAAGAATTTTTAAATTCAAACATAAACTTTTCTCCCTTCCTGATCCCTTTGCAATTGGAAAATATTTGTGAGCACTCTTATTTTGTGGCAGAATGGCTATTTGCATAATTTCAGTAATACAATAATATCTGTTACCTTGAATCATAAATTGAATTCTTATGGGGGCTTTGTGCAAATAACAGACCAAATTGAGATTAATCTAATTTTTTTTAAATAAGTTAGTTTAGACCTCTCTTCAGTAAAAGGGAAAATGGAGAGAGAGAGAAAAAAGTTTTAGAAGGAAATTAGAGTGCACATGTCACTAGATTCTAGCTTTGTCCATATTTTAAGATCTTTTGTGAATCAATAAAATGTGAAAGAAAAACTTCAGTATGAAAGAGAGGGAGGGGAAAGAGGGAGGATAAAAATGGTAAAAGTATGCTTAATTGACAAAAAATGAGAAGCTATTTGCTGATAATAAATTAAACTAAAATTTTCTCAATAAACCATTATAATACCTTTAGAAAATGCTGACATATGTAAATAAAGCATAATTTGTGACAACAAAAAAAAATGTCCTACAGGAAATAGCCTCCTTCAACATGTTCTCTTTGGGACCAACATGTTCTCTTTGGATTAAGGCACTGCACCCCCCACATGACTGATCATGGTTTGAGTCCTGGACCCGGTGGCTTAAAACTCACGCCAAAGAGATTAGAAGAGAAGGAATTGTGGCATGGTCTTCCTCCCAGGGGGTTGATTTCTTGCTTTCTGTCTCTCTGTCTCTCTCTGTGTTCTCCAGCAATTGCACGTACCCTTGCATGTACAAGGCAAGAGATAACTTTGTTTTATCTACAAGATTTTTGCCTAGCAAAAATCTCCCTCAAAAAAAAAAAATTTTCTCTTTCCTAGTAACTCTTTTTAAAAATTTATTATTATTATTATTATTAATTTGACCAAAGAAAGATACAGAGTGAGAGGGAAAAAGGAAAAGTGAGAAAGCAAGTCGCTGGGTCCAGGACTTGAACTGCAGTCAGCCACATGGGAGTCCAGCACCTTAGCCACCACACTACCTGCTGGCCCCTATATTAACTCTTCTTTTTGGAGAGGTTTTTGCTACAGGGAGCATACGATCGTCAGAGAGACAGAGTGAGACAGAGAGACAGAAAGTGAGAAATCCCCCCGAGGGGCGATGGCCACACCTCAATCTCTTCTCTTCCATTCTCCTTTCAGGATCTTGGGCACGCACGCACATGCGCCTGGTGTGAGTTTAAGCCACCAGGTCCAGGACTTGAACCGCAGTTGACTACATTGGAGTCCAGCGACATAGCCTTTACACTAACTGCTGGTCCCCTGATATTAACTCTTAACAGATAGAAATGTTATAGTTGTCAACTAATACCTTGATATTAATATCAATAAATGATGTAAAGGAACATGTGTAATATGTAAAATAGGGGGACCCTGAAAAACCAATTAAGCTACTGCAATATTTAAAATATTCACATCATATCTTTCTTTTAAAAAATGTGGGAAGAGTCCTTTATGAAACTCTGTTGGAAAACAAGACAAGGATCATCTCATGTGCCAGTATCCTTTATCAACTATTTTTAAAATGCTGTTTTCTGAGATTTAGAGGAAAATTATTTGAAATCCAGTTTCTCTAAAATGCTGCTGAAGGTATCTATGATAGTAAAGCTCTACTGTAGTTGAATATTGTAATAGTAACTGGTATGTATACATATTACACATATTACATCAAAATATAATGTAGACAAATAATAAACAAACACAGGCTATATGAAATATTTTTACCAAAAGATCTGTAGTTTCTGAACTGTCTGAATTAATATCAAAATCAAAGACCATTTTCCTCTTTTTATTACTTTCTTCAATGGGTATATTCTTGTTTTCTCTTTGCTGTATTTGCAGTTTTGTTGGTGTCTTCACTTTATATACCTATTCAAAAATAAAAATAAATTATCATACTAAATAAAAGATACATTATTAATAAGTTATTTAATCAATAATTTCAAAGCAATTACATTCTTTAGCAATCAGAAATCTCCATTATTATTGTCAAGTATGTAATATACAAATTTCACTCAGATGTTATTCAGATGTTCTTATATCAGAAATATTTCTTTAAAAAATTTATAACAGCAGATTTTATCTCCTTTTTTGAAAGTTTATTTTGAGAGAAAGTAGCAGGTCAGAGACTGTCATAGACAGATGGATACCCTCAATAGTGTCTCACCATGCCATGATGTCCCTTCCCTAGCCTTTCGGGCAGCTCGGATTACAGACACATCTGTGGGTGCAACTGGAATAATCAGGTAGACCCAGGATCTGAAGCCCACACCCTCCCACATAGATCCAGTATTGCACAGCAATGTCCTACCATCTGTGCCATCATGGCTGGGCCAATAGTTGGTTTTCTTTGCCCTTCAAAAGAGAAAGAAAGAGACAGAGAAACAGAGAGAGACACTACAGCTTCAGCAATCAACATGCAGAAAAACCCTAAGTAAGAGCAAATAATTATAGGAACTTTGCTCTCTCCACAAAACTCCTAGGTGCTTTGTGAGAAATATATTTGCCTTTTTTGTTGGTAAAGGAATTCACATTAACATTTAGTATTCTATATTATCCCATAAATTTTATCAATTAAAAAAAAGCATCTTTAAAAAACATGATCACGGGGAACCAGCAGTTAGCGTAATGGCTATGTTGCTGGACTCCCACATAGTCGACCGCAGTTCACGTTCCGGACCCAGTGGCTTAAAACTCACGCCCTATAATGAAAATCTCTCAAAAAATAAATAAATAAATAAAAATAAAACCATGCTCTATGACATCAACAAAAATGGCAGAGTAAGCAACTCTAAAAATTCACTACTCTTTAAAAGCAATAAAATTATTTTAAGAATCGTCAGGGGACCAGCAGTTGACATAATGGCCAATCGAATCCCATGTAGTCCACTGCAGTTCGAGTCCTGGACCCAGTAGTTTAGACTCACTCTGAGAGAGTGTGTGTGTGTGTGTGTGTGTGTGTGTGTGTGTGTCCAAGATCCCAAGAGGAGAATGGAGGAGAAGGGACTGCAGCGTGGCTATCCCCCCTGGGGGGTGATTTCTTGCTTTTTGTCTCTCTGTCTCCCTCTGTCTTTCTGGTGAGCACACACACCCTATAGCAAACACCTCTCCAAAAAAAAAGAAAAAAAAGTCAGAATTAGCGTTTTTTAGAACTCAAAAAATTAAATAAAGGCTTTCAGTAACCTAGAGTGTTTTATTTATTTTTAAATGATTGAATCTCTGTAATAGCATCAAGATTTATGGTATCTAAACTCTCCCCAATCCCATGCCCTGTGTTCTAGCTCTGTATTAAAAATACCATTCCTAGGGACCAGCAGATAGCATAATGGTTATCTCACTGAACTCCCACATAATTCCAGTCCTGGACACGGTGGCTTCAAACTCTTAAAGACACACACACACACACACACGCACACACACAGCATTCCTGGTACAATCTGGCAGTCACAAGATAGAACAGAACATAATCAAAGCTCAAAGCTTTTTTCCTGAATAACTGTCATTATTAGATCTATCTTCTGGTTCTCTAGAGGACCCTATTTACAAGGAAAGCTGTACTTGATCTTACAGCTCACTCATTGTAACAAGACTTCTTTGTTTTATTTATTTATATTTTCTTTGGAGAGGTTTTTGCTATAGGACACATGCATTCACCAGAAAGACAGAGAGAGACAGGGAGACAGAAAATGAGAAATCAGCCCCCCCACCCCCCACAGGGGGATGACCACACCACAATCCCTTCTCCTCCATTTTCCTCTTGGGATTTTTGGGCACACACGCACATGCTCCCAGCATGAGTTTAAGCCACCAGGACTGGGACTCCATTCTCCTCTCAGGATCTTGGGCATGCACACACACACACACCCTGCATGAGTTTAAGTCACCAGGTCCAGGACTCGAACCGCAGTCAACTACATGGGAGTCCAGCAACACAGCCAACATGCCAACTGCTGGTCCCAAGAGATAGATATTGTTAAAATAAAAACAAACATAAATTATAGAATTGAAAATATAATAATTGAAATAAAGTTATTTCACTATAGGACTTCAACAACATATCTGAGTAAGCAGGAGAATTCATGAACCTGAAGATAGTTCAAGTGAAATTATCCAGTCTGAGGAACAATAAAAGAATGAAGACAAATGCACATAACCTCAGAGACTTATAGGATACTATCGAGCTCACCAATATTCACATAATGAGAGTTACAGAATAACAATAGAGACACGAAATGTGAAAGAAATATTTGAAAAAAAAATAATAGCTAGAATCTTCCAAATTAAATGGAACATCAATTTAAACATCCAAGAAGTACAACAATTACAAGGAGGATAAACTCTGAGAGAACTATACCTAGACACATAACAAACTGTCAAAAGACAAAGACGAAGACAAATTTTATCTGCAGCAAGAGGGAAGCAAATAACTATGCATATATTTGGTCAAGTACTAGAATTTTTTTCTTTTTTCTTTTTTTTGGAGAGGATTTTGCTATAGGGCACGTGTAGTTGCCAGAAAGACAGAGAGAGACAAAGACACAGAAAGCGAGAAATCACCCCCCAGGGGGGATGACCACACAGCAATCCCTTCTCCTTTCTCTTCTCGAGATCTTGGGCATGCACGCACACACACCCAGCGTGAGTTTATGTCACTGGGTCCGAGACTTGAACCATGGTCGGCCACATGGGAGTCCAGCCACACAGCCATTATGCCAACTGCTGGTCCCAAGTATTAGAATTTTTAAAACAACACTATTCATAAAAGTTCGATCAGGAAACTACCAAATGTCCATACACTGTGGTATAGTCACAAAACAGAGCATTATACAGAAATAAAAACGGGCTACAACTTCAAGCAACGATATGGATAAATGCCACAAGCATGTTAAATGAAAGAAGTCCAGACAAAAATACTGCATGATTCCATTTGTAGAAAATGCCAGAACGGGTACATCTAACACTGAGACAGTAGTGTGTTGGAGAAGAGACTAGTGACTGGTAGGTGAACAAAAAGCTCTTCTGAGGTGATAGTAGTATTCTATGCTATAATCCATGTGATGGCATTAAGGTTAGATTTGTTTTATACTCATAAAAATATTCAAATTGATTACTTAAGATCTGTGCATTTTGGGACCAACAGTTAGCGTAATGGCTATGTCGCTGGATTCCCATGTAGTCGACCACGATTTGTGTCCTGGACTTGGTGGCTTAAAACTCACACCGGGCGCATGTCTGTGCGTGCCCAAGATCCCGAGAGGAAAACGGAGGAGAAGGGATTGCGGCGTGCCCATCCCCCTGGGGGGTGATTTCTTGTTTTCTGTATCTCTGTCTCTCTCTGTCCGTCTGGCGAGCACACTTGCCCTATAGCAAAAACCTCTTCAAAAAAAAAAAAGATCTGTGCATTTTTCTCACCAATATTTTAATAAAAAGGTATTTAACTTTTTATTTATTTCTTCCATGAGAGAGAGAGAGACCCCCCAACTTAACGGTGCAATCTACATACAGCCTTCAAGCTAGCCTCAGATCACAGGCATGCACATGCCTGATATACCCAGAGAACTCTCTGTACTTGATCCAGCAACCTTCCCATGTGGGAGTGCCTCACGGAGGGAGTACCTCATAGAGTATCATATTTTACTATTAAATCGCTGGCTAAAAAAAGGTTTCTGTTTTGTTTTTGCTTTTTTTAAGTAAGCTCTTCCTTTAGTGGAAAAAATTTCAATTCTGAATAATATGGTAGGAAATATAACTGAATATTTTAATATAAAAACCTCTAAGCTATACAGTTCACTAATTTTCACAAAGTGAATAATATTCTGCATATATCTATCAGGGTATGAGGACTCATCTTTTTCCTCTAAAATTATCAATTGGGACACAAAGCTGGGTTAAAAATGTTTGTAACCTCTATTTAGAAGAAAGCAACCTATAATTGGTGCCAGATTCTTCCTTAGGGATTATTAAAAGGTGGTAGGACAGGTCCTATGATCAACAAGCACCTCTCTCCTTCCCAGTTATTTTAAGGACACTGACAGAAAACAGCATGAAATTTCAGTTTAGAGGAATGGAGACAGGTTGGGTTATTACTCTCCTTAACTCCCAAGACAAGTGAGGCAGGAACTCCAACAATGTCCTTATAAAAGCTAGAAGTGCCTTTAAGGAGGGGCAACTGATAACTCATTGCCTAGTTGAATATGAACCTGTATTTGTGTCTAGCTGAACAGAATAAAAGGTAATTAAAGTGAGATAAATGGCAGAGAGAAAACAGGGGTCAGAAGTAAACCATTTTGTATTGCCATTTAATGTAGCAAGGTTGTATATACCCCATGAATTAAGGGGAAATGTGGAAGATAGCTAGAACTAAGTCACTTTGCTAATGGCATCTTCCTGATGACTGCTAATTAAAGGACTCCATCAGCAAGATGACGTGGCGTAAACAGCAAAGGGAGGTAACTGGCATGGTTCTGTAAAATGTCTATAATCAAACCAGATTTCTTACATCAAGGAATCTGTAAATAACCAGTAAGTTACAGAATCTGCCCAAAATGCCATTAAGTTGTGGACAGCAATAGAGGAAAAAAATGAAACCATTCATGTTGATACCTCAAAAACCCTGAAACTTCCAAGAAGCAAATTGTGTGTGTGTATGTGTGATGCCAAATAACACCAGAACTTCCTTTATTTAAAATAATATTACTATTACCTTGAAATTTTAGCCACCAACCTTTGGTAATGGTGTAGATAAAGTACTTTTAGCAGATGTCCACAAATAGTCCCTTTTATCTTTGGACTTGCCATTATCAGTTGATGTGAAACTTCGAGATTTATTTTGTGAAGGAACTACCTTAGAATCAAATTTTCGATAGCTAGTTTCAGGTGTTTCCAATAAAGATGTCTGTGTCTTCTGCATGGAACAACAAAAGTTAATATAACCATCATTGAATGTCATTTTAATTAATTAATTATTTAAGTGCAGCAACTGGAATTAATGAAACTGGAAATTACCCCCTAGTTTACTATTGTTTAGTCTGAGTAAGTTACACCTATCCCTCTGTCATTTTACTTGCCCATTTCAGATAAAAATAGTACCTATCATCCCTGTCTTCACAGAGCTACTATGAAAACAGGTAAGATATTTCAACTTTCCATTTGACCAAAAGTTGAGGATTCTCTTTTTTAAAAAAATCCTATTCCTGATGGCAAAAAAGTATTTATGATTCATTCCATACCCTAAAATACAGGTGACAATTTATTCTCATCTTCATTCATTCTCTTTTGTGCATTCATACTTCCTCCCTCTCACTTTAAGCATTTTCCTACCCACCAGTCTCACTTGTCTCCAAAAAAGGGGATTTTTCAAGTGGAAAAAAATGAGAAAATGATATTTACTTCTACTCAGAAAGTAAATAAACTACAAATTTACTCTAAATTTACACATTATTTTAACTCAGTTTTCTCAGTTCTCCTTCTCTAAAACGTTACTGATTTTATGGACATATTTTTCCAAAAGGCCTGAGAGGCCATTTAAAGTCACTGCGCCACCTTGTGGTTATATGCAAAAATTGACATTTCTTGGGTAGCCTAGAAGAAAATGCTCTCCAATTTAAATAATACTGAACTTGGGCCAGCCCATAGTGTAGTAGTTAGGGGAATCGGATCCCACATAGCTGATCGCAGTTTGAATCCCTGTCTAGCAGCTTGAAAAATACACCAGGTACATGTGCATGCATGTCTAATACCAACAGGATGGAGAACTGAAGACAAGATTGTAGCATGATCATGCTCTACTAGGAGTTGCTTTCTCTCCATGTTTGTCTCTCTCCCTGTCTCTGTCTCACAAACCTGTGAGACCCGTAGCAATTCAAAAAATTACTGAATTATCTTTCTTCATAATACATGATGTAAATATTCATACTTCTTATAAGTTACATTCTTTTCTGAATGTTTACATATCCAGTGATGGATATATACAGAAATTCACAATTTTCTCTCTTGTATTTTTTTAAACAAACACTTATATGGGAGTTACAATGTGCCAACACTATTTTAAATGGTTTACAAATATCATCTCTTTTTTTAGTTTTGATGTAGGGCATGTGCACTTGCCAGAGAGAAAGAAAGGAAAAATGAGAAATCACTCCCCATAATATATGGCTATGCCACAATCCCTTCTCCACGATTTTTCTCTTGGGATTTTAGGCACGCATGCACAAATACCCAATGTGTTTTACAAGCTTCTGGAGTGAGACTCAAACCACTCTGTCAGTCAGTCATGTGGGATCCAGCTGCCTTAACCTGGTAGTTAAGGTAGGTCCATGCCATTGGCTGGCCCTAATCTTCACAATGTTAGGAGACTGTTACTCCCATTATCCCTTTATAAATGAGGAAATTGAAACATGAAAAAGTTAAATAACCTATCTAAATACAGAACTGTTTGGTAAATTTAATGATTTTATATATGAGGCTTGTGATTTTTCAATAGTGTTGGAATAAAGTACAGGATTTGATTTGATTTGCTAGGGCATGTATACTCACCAGAAAAAGAGGGAGTGGGAAGCATAGGAGAAATCCACTCCCCTCTCCCATAGGAAATGATCACACCACAATTCTTTCTCCAGCTCTCCCTCCTTTCACAATTTTGGATTTGGGGCACACATGCACATGCACCCAGTCTGTTTCTCAAGCCACTGGTCTGGGACTTGAACCTCATGGCTGGTCAAATGAGATCTGGCTGCTGTAACTACCAGACCACAGTGATGGCCCAAAGCACAATATTTATTCTTTTTAATTTTTAATTTTTTTAAGTTCCCCCCCCCCATAGGGCACATGCAGTTACCAGAAACACAGAGAGACAGTGAAGGAAAGTGAGAAATAACCACACACACCCTAGAGGGGTGGCCATGCTGCAATCCCTTCTCCATTCTCCTCCTGGGATTTTGGGCACACACACACACATATGCCCAGTGTGAAGTTGAAGCTGCCAGATCCAGGACTCAAACTGCAGTCAGCCATGTAGGAGTCCAACACCTTAACCACCATACCACCTGCTAGCCCCAGTACCATTTTTTGTTGGTTTGTTTCTTAAGAGATTTTTGCTATAGGGCACATGTGCACACTGGAGACAGACAGAGATGGAGAGAAAGTGAGAAAGCACACCCCTCAGGAGGGCTGGCCATCCCATAATCCCTTTTCTTCCATTCTCCTCTTGGAATTTTGGGCATGCACACACTCCTGGCATGAGTTTCAAGCTGCCCAGTCTAGGACTCAACCTGTGGTCACCCATGTGGGAGTCCAGCACCCTCACCTCTAAAGTCATCTGCTGACTCCCCAGTACATTTTTTTTAAGCATTAAATTTCATTTCTTTTACATTTTTCATTTTCATACCATATATATCTAGACCCCCAAGATAAAATATATGGCATTTACTAATCTACTTGATAAATAGTTACAAATGATGAGCATATTTTATGGAATTATATATGAATCAAAACATCTCTACAAGTGATATGTATTTTCATAATATGAATACATTCTGTATTTAGACAACAATATCAGAGATTGACCAATTTGTTTATCTGCATCAAACACTTCGCACTAAGACTACCTCCAACCTTACTGGTTAATTTTGTCATGAGGAAAATTTCTCCAAATAAGTTTTCAAATATCATCTCTTTTTTTAGTTTTGATATAGGGCATGTGCACTTGCCAGAGAGAAAGAAAGGAAAAGTGAGAAATCACTCCCCACTGTATATGGCTGTGCCACAATCCCTTCTCCACCATTTTCCTCATGGGATTTGGGGCACACATTTATCCAGATACTAACACAGTATTTGGACAAATGAAGCGCTGAATATTCATTCAGATTCAATATTTCTTTCCTTCTCTTTCTTAAATCTAAATGCAACAAAACTGTTAGCATTGCTTATATCTAACAAGTGAAATATTTCCAAACTATTTTGATTGTCAATTTCAGTTTAACTATAATAATCAACCTCTCTGGAGGCTTACATGAGGAGTCTACATCACTGGGTATAAAGAATATATTTAATCATTTTAACCAAAAATTGGTTAAATCAAAATTCTTCTGCAGTAATCCTTACCAAATAGGTTAGAGGCTGAGGAGTACTTTTCTGCCTCCTATCTAGCATTCATTTTCATAAGTAGGAAGCACCACTAGGGTAACATTCCTAATAACTCTCTGCCTCATTAGGGGAAGAATGATGAACTAATGTGACTAGTAACTTTTTAGAAACTGAGCACTTAGTGTACAGCCAGCCACCTTCTTACTCCTCCTGAGAGTCAGAGGAAGCACATTTATTCTGCTCTGCCCTATTATGCCATAAATTTTACAAGAACAGACGATCGAGTGAGTAGAGTTGCCCAATTCAAGCTCTACCTGTCTAATTGAGATTTCAGGATTAAGAAATCCTCTTGTAGGAACAAGCAGATGGTATAATGGTTATGTCTCTGGACTCCCACATAGTCGACCACAGTTTGAGTCCCAGACCTGAGGGCTTAAAATACACCAGGCATGTGTGCTTGCATGCCCAAGATCCCAAGAAGAAAAGAGATTGTGGCATAGCCATCCCCCCTGAGGGGTGATTTCTCACTTTCTGTCTCTGTGTCTCTTTCTGCCTCTCTGGCAGGCACATGCCCTATAGCAAAAATCTCTCTAAAAAAGAAAAGAAAGAAGAAATTCTTTTGCCTTCAAATATAAGCCACATTCTCCAATATTATTTATCAAAAGTAAAGATATAATTTTGGTTCTCTTTTGCCTTTCTCAATTGGTTCAGAATTAAAGTCAGAAAAACAGGATGTCATTGATTCTGCCATCTAAAACCCAAAATTTTATATACTCTAAACAAAAACTTTAGAATTTTTAGTAAAAAATATTTTACCCCAAACTGAAAAATTTTCAAGAGAGAAATATAAAGTATCTAATTTAAGATAACATTAGTTCATCAAGAAAATTATGACGTATTTTTCTGGTTTTCTACGTAAAAGTGCATCATAATTTTCCCAACAACCCAATACTATAAGAATTACAGGGTAAAACTGAAATCTTCTCTAAATCTTCAAATGACAAATGTTTTAAAATTTTTAGCTAAAGCTTTTGAGTTAATAAATAGCAAGAAACAATTAAGGAAATTCAATTGTATGATACACTTAAATGTTATCTTCTTATAAAAAAAGAATTATTTCTAAGTATATGTTAGAAAAGGAATTGTCTTATAAAAAAAGAATTATTTCTAAGTATATTTTAGAAGAGGAATTGCTTATTAAAAATAAATAAATAAATAAATAAATAAATAAAACTCTTACCTTGCCTTTTTTTTCCTTGAGAGTAATTGGATTTTCTTTTGTTTCTCTTTTGAGTTCTTCCTATTTAAAAAAAAAAAAAAGACTATCAAGTACATACATAATCATTGCTATTATCACAAGTGAATGTTATCATCAAAAACTTTTCTAATAAATATCACCAAATAATGACGACTAACATCCCAATCTCATAAAATAATGAAAAAGAAAAAGGGAAAAAAATTAAGATATTTTCAACCACGGTATTATTTGTTTCAATTACCTTTGCTTTTTATTCTGATCAATCTCTAGTATGTATCTCTGGAATCCTGAATACTTTTTTTCAAACTCTAAAATTCTACATCCTAATTTTTTTAAAAAAGGTTTTCACCATAGAGTGTGTGAGCTCACTGGAGTGAGACAAACAATAAGAAAAAGTGAGAAATTACCCTCACCCCAAGGAGGGATGGCCACACCACAATCCCTTCTCAATTCTCCTTTCAGGATTCTGGGCACATATATATATACATGCCCAGTGTGACTTTCAAGTCACCCATTCCAGGACCTGACACATAGTCGGACATGTGGGAGTGCAGCACCTTAACCATCACGCCACCTACTGGCCTCTCAATTTTCTAATTTATAAAATGAAGTGATGGAACAGATTATAGGGTAAGGGGTATATGTAAGTAACTAAACCATGAAGTAACTATTATGGGCCAGAAACAGAGTTAGCTTTTTCCCCTGTGTGTTGAACAAAAGTGCATTTCAGCTGGATTTTGATGACACAGGACTTTCAGTATGAGAGAGAGATAAGGGATTAAAATTTAAAAAGCTGGAAAGCAAAAATAATCACATGAATAAGTACAGAAAAGTATACAATACTTAGAAAATAATCTATAACTTTTGCTAATTTGTATAAAGAAGTACTCAATAAAAACAGTAAGGTGAATTATAGTCAAAGTGAGAAGAGTAATTTGCTATGCTAGAGAATGCATTCAATAGGAAAAGGGAAAGTTAAACCTGACCAACAGATATGAGTATGTAGTATGTCTGCAATATGACAGCCAACTATAAAACAGAATTACTACAACCAATAACTAGGATCAAAGTTGAGAAATCAAGAAAAAGATTGCTCATAAAAGATGGGCTGCAGAACTAGACAGTAGCACTACTTAATACAAAGCTCTGCAAGGTTGACTCACATGGGAAGGTTCCATATTTGTATGTATCTGGAGATTCCCTAAACACACCAGGTAGGCACATGCCCATAACCCAAGGCTGACTGATGATGGGGTGAATCATGGCATGAAGACTCTGTTAGAGGTACCTGTCTCCCTCTTTCTCTCTCTCTCTCTCTCACTCTCTTTGTCTCTCTTGCTCATGGAATAAATACTTTTTTTAGGGCATGTAAACTTGGCAGAGAGAGAGAAATTATCCTCCAAGGTGGGGATGACCATGCTGCAATCCCATCTCTTTCATGCTCCTCTCTGCATTTTGGGCATGTATGAACACACACCCAGGATGTTTTTCAAGTCACTGGGTTTGGGACTCGAACTGTGCAGTCAATCAGGTGAGATCCAGTCACCTTAACTTCCATATCATCTTCTGGCCATAAAGCTTTTTTTCTTTTTCTTTTTTTTTTTTTACAAAGATTCATTTCATCTATGTAAATATAAAGCTCAAGTTAAACAAATATGGAAATCACATCTAAAGTTTAAAGTAAGCATTTTTAGAAATCTTGCCAATGCAAAATAATAAAATAAATATTAAGGTCATCTATGCAAAGAGAGATAAGATAGTATTAGACTTATTATTTAAAAATATAAAGGTAACTAGTAAAGTAAAAGACTACATATACCCTTCAAATCAACCAAAGTAAGACATACACACAAACACACACTTTAAAGAATAAGAAATGAAATTAGTATTAATATGTAATGAAAAATATGATGATAAAAACATTATTAAAATACATACCATACTGATGATTAGTTAACAATAAAAATTTTTAAACAATTCCTAGTACTCAAAGACAAAAAAACCTGATTAAAATTATTAAACTCATTCAAAAATTGGTAAAAGATGTGAATAATCAGTTTTCCAAAGACATACAAGTGTCAACAAGCATATTAAAAAATGATCAACATCATTAATCATAAGAAAAATCATAGCCACAATGAAATATCATCTCATATACATCAACACGGCCACTATCAACAGCAGAGAAAATAACAAATCCTGAGGAGGATATGAAGAAACTGGAATTGTTATACACTGTCGGTAGGAATATAAAATTAGTGTAGTCACCATGACAAACAGATAGGGGTCCTTCTAAAGATAACAGAATTATCATATGATCCAAATCCAGATTCTAGACAGAAATACAAAAGAATTCAAGGCAAGATCTCAAAGAGATACATGCACACCCACATTCACTATAACACTATGTACAACAGCCAAGAGGTAGAAGAAACCCAAATATCCTTCAAAAGGTGAATAGGTAAGGAAAATAATGGTATATAAGATTTAAAGAAGAACTAATACCAATTACTTCCAAACTATTTCAAAAAATTGAAGAGGAGGAAATTTTTCCAAACTCAGTCTTGAGGGCAACATAACCCTGATATTAAAACCAGACAAGGACACAGGAAAAAAAAAAAAAGAAAGAAAGAGAGAGAGAGAGAGAAGAGAAGAGAAGAGAAGACTACATGCCAGTATCTCTGAAGAACACAGATGTAAAAATTCTCTGCACAATACTAGCAAGCCAAATTCAACAGCACATTTAAAATAGTATTCCCTGTGATCAAGTAGGATTCAATCTTGGAGCACAAGCATAGTTTGATAATGTATACATCAATAAACACAATATATCACATTAACAAAATCAAGGACAAAGGTCAGATGATCACTTCAATAGAAAAAAGCGTTTGATGAAATTCAATAACCCTATGATAAAAACACAACAAATCAGGCATTGAAAAAAAAAAATCTCAACACAAAAAAGGCCACATATGACAAATCAATAGCTAACATCATACTGAATAGGAAAAAATTATATATATTTTTTCTATGATATGTAGTAAGGAAGACTGCCCACTTTTACCACTTTTGTTTGTTTGTTTGTTAAGAGAGATTTTTGCTATAGGGCATGTGCATTCGCCAGAGAGACAGAGACAGAAAGCAAGAAATCACCACCCCTCCCCAAGAGAGCTGGCCACACCACATTCCCTTCTCCTCATTCTCCTCTCCAGAATCTTGGGCATGCATGCATATATGCCCAGTGTGACTTCTAAGCCTCAGATTTCAAACTTGAACCAATTTCAACTACATCAGAGTCAAGTGACATGACCATTATGCCACTTGCTGGTCCCATACTTTTACCACTTTTATTCAACATAGTGCTGGAAGTCTTAGACTAATTAGGGAAGAGAACAAAAGAAAGAACATCCAAATTAGAAAAGAGAAGTCAAATTGTCTCTGTTAGAAGATAACATATTACATACAAAACCCTAAAGACTCCTCACACAAAAAAACCTGTTAGAACAACTAATTCAGTAAAGTTGCATGATATAAAAACAATATACAAATGTCAGTAGCGTTGCTATATGCCAATCACAAATTGTTTTAAAAGAGAAATCAAGAAAGCAACCTTATTTACAAAAACTACTTAAAAATGCCTAGGAATAAATTTAACCCAGAAAGTAGATGATCTCTACAATAAAAGAAATGAAAAAAAAAATATAAAAGCAGCTCATGTTCACGGGTTGAAAGAATTAATATTGTTAAAATATCCATACTATCTAAACCAATCTACAGATTTAATGTAATCCCTAACAAAATACCAATGACATTCTTGAATGGAAAAAACAATTCCAAAATTTGCTAAGGAACTACAAAAGACTTCAAATACCCATAACAATCTTGAGCAAAAGATCTAATATGGAGACATCACATTAACTGACTTCAAAATGTACTACAAAGCGGTATTAAACCAATCAGTAGCCATCTATATTTGAGTTCCGAATGGCTACATTCAGTGATTTTCACCACTGAAGAGCCGCTGCCCAGACTTCACCCTCCTGCTCACCAGTCTAGCCAGGAGCCAGGATAAACCAATCAGCAGCCATCTGTATTTGAGTCCCAAGCAGCCACATTCAGGATTTCCACCACCGAGGACCATCTGCCCAGATTTCACCGGTGTCCTGCTCCCCAGTCTAGCCAGGAGTCGGGTTAGAGCACCCTACTTATTAACTCTGTCTCTATCCATCTCTATTTTTAATTTTTTTTTTTAAACTTAGTTCTCTGCTACTCTTTTGTCTTCCTACTTCTTTCCTTTTTCCTTGCCCCCATAGGATAAACCTATCAGCAGCCATCTACATTTCAGGTTCTAAGTGGCTATATTCACACAGCACTGTTTTCATTTTTTAACCAAAAATTTTTTTCTTATTGTTTTTTTCTTCTTTCTCTTTTTCTTTCTTTCCTTCTTTCTTTCTTTCTCTTTTCCTATTCATTTTCCTTTTGTTTTTACCTTTCTCACTGTTCTGCTCAGCCTCCATACAATGATTTTCTAGACAGGTCTAGCTGCTCAGTAGCAAAATATCTGAATACTTTTAGGGTCACATTAATCCTCAATTTTCATTAAATCAGTTTTGCAAAGCGAGAAAAATGGTACTGTTTACAGACGGCTTCATGTCCTTCTGCATTCCTCTGACTGCTCAGATTTAACTCAAAAAAAAAAAAAAAGCAGAAAAAAAACTATAATCCATCAGATGATCACAAACCACCACAGAGGCATAGAAATATGAGAAACCAAGAAAATATATCTCCTCTAATGGAAAAAAAAATAACTCCTTCCTCCCCAAAGAATACAAGGGAACTTTTACCATATGATCCAGCAATTCTACTCCTCGGTATCTACCCAAAGGACAGAAGGACTCTTCATTGGAAAAGTGCTTGCACATCATTGTTTATTGCAGCACTATTCACGATTGCTAAGACATGGAACCAACTCAAATGCCCCCGTACAGATGAATGGATTGAAAAACTGTGGCACATATACTCTATGGAATACTATTCAGCCA